TAATAATAATAATAATAATAATAATAATAATAATAATAATAATAATAATAATAAATATAATAATAATTAGGCTACCTCATAGGCACAAACCATTCTCTTAATGCAGTATAAACAAGTAATTTAATCTTCCATAAATAAAAACATGTATAGACATAAATGATTAAGGAAACATCAAAGTATACATTAAATTCATAAGTAACAATGAAAAAAAAAATAGATGGATTTCACATGTCATTGAAAAAAGGACAAATATTAAGTTCATAAGTGCAACAGCCAGTTTTTGTATCCTACAGCAAATTTTCAACCAGTTTAATTCTATCAATCAAATATATTGGACTATGGTCCAATCACAGAGAAAAGAATCTTTCCTCTGTGATTTGTACTTTGCAAAATAGCTGTGGTACAAGTGGGAAATGCTGATTTTAACCTCTTCAATGCAATGAACAGAGCACTTTTTAAACAATCAAAATACAAAGGCAAAATTTCATTACACAGAAAATCAACAGACGAAATTGTCTAGTGATTAGCAAGAGATGAAAGCATGATCAATTATGCCCAAATGAGCACGTTAGAATGACATTATGACCACAAAACAAACACTGACAGGCAATGGCATAGCATGACAAAATCAAATGGGTAGAGAGCCATATCAAGGACAGACTTATTTAGAGATTATCTCTAACCATAGTTATCTTCATAGACATAACTTACCGGGTGCTGAACACCAATATTAATATTATCATAATTAATAATAATAATAATAATAATAATAATAATAATAATAATAATAATAATAATAATAATAATGCATTAACAACCTATATTTCAGCTTCAATTTATTGGATTGAATTTATTTTAATGATTTCTAAAGGAGGCCATGATGGATACGTCAGTATACTCTTTGCATGATTTTTAAAAATAATGTTTAAAATTTTGCAGTTATTCTTTCTCATCACATCAATCTAGCACCCTGATAATTGTTTTTAAAATGTTATGTTGTGAACTGTTAAATGTATTCTGTACATTGCAACTTCGTTAAATAAGAAAATATTGTATGTTTGTTTGCTGCCCTTTGCCCCTAAACCATGCTTGAAACGCATGAAATAAGCAACACACACATGCTTTATGTCCATAGCGAGGCTCTGCACTTATCCCGCGGCTAATGCACACGCAGCTTTTCCTGAGGGAAAACGGACCTCACACAGATGCATTGCAAACTGTCTACCTCTACCTTAAGGCAGGGTGCTAACTCGTTACATAGGCTTCTGTCTTTCTCTTCCAAAAGTGTTATAATTCCCTATAATTGAAGAATAACTACTATTGAAATACTTAATCTATATTCTCTGAATTAATCTTTGCTTTGAGTAGAATCCTTTCATGCTACACCGCTACTGACAGGGCATTTTTCTTTTATGTTATGACCAAAACTACCGACATTCAAAATCTGTGAGAGTTCTACATGCAGAGCCATGGAATTTCTGTTAAATGTATACAGTACAACCAAGTTACAAGAGGTCTCAAGTTATCTCTCAAACAGACTTAAGGGAACTCTTATAGGAGGAAAATGGTAAAATGAGTGTATTTATTTTACCTGTTACCTTACATTTTTATTGTCCCGCATATATTGAGAATTAACTTTCTTTTCAAAGCCAACATAACTGAAACTCTCAAAAAATTATCACTAAATTGAGGTATCAGCTTACATTAACCGTGAGCATTGTTCATCAGACAATCATCACAAAGGTGTAAAGATCAAAATAAAGTTGACAATATGTCAAGATGATGCACCTTACATCTTATCACAGTTCCTATTCACTTATACATATAAAGAGGACATTAGCATGAATAAGCTCTTGACAGAGACAGAGCAGGGCTGTGCAACACATGTGGCCTACCACATTAAATTGTGTGCCCACTGCATGATTTTATATTAAAATAATTTAACTTCTATATCCTTCTTAGAAAGAAAAAAACTCATTAAGATGAAGACTTAATTATATTGAATGATAGTATACCAATGAAGTTTTATTCATTTTGAATTTGTATTCCTTGGTTTAAAAGAATGGTTACCTAAAGTGCAACCCCATTTGATCATTCATCAAAGTTGCCTGTGAAATCATTTGGCATTTGGCCTCAAAACAATCTTCAAACATCAAGCCTGACTTAGGCACAGGGAAAGTCCTTGACAAGATTGCTGGATAATTTCTGAATCGGTATTTGTGCAATGGTCAGAAATTCCTTCTTTGAAACCCATTCTCAGGGATGCTTGAAGGTAATACCTATACATCACACACCTCATCATGTACGAAACTTTGTCATTTTGACTTTTACTCATGGAAAAATTCCTTCGGAATCAATATTTTGCCTACTGTGAACTGAAACGTATAAGGTGGTCTCAAATACACAGGGGAAAAAATGCTAATTGTTTTACACTGGGTCCCAGGAAAATCAACATTGTCTGTTATAAGCAAGTTCTCTGATAACAAGGTTCTATTCAATTAAAAATAATTTACATCCCCCGCTCCAAATTAAAACAATCAATAGAACATAATATTACTGCTGAATGTCTTTTAAGGTCAAAACGGTAAATTCCATAAGAGGATTTACATACCGTTAAATGTGAAGTGAAATATTAATAAAGCGAAGAAATTTTATACCCTTATGTAAATCACAATTAATTAATATAATTAAGGCCACAAGAGAATATCTGAAAACTGCCATAAAAATTAAAATCTCATGGAGCCGGCCCCCTACCCATGAAATGCAAAACATCTACATGGAAAATCTGAGCAGGATGTCACTGAAGTTATACATGAAAACCAATTGAACAATTATTATGTTCACAATTAATTAATAAGAAATGTTTATTAAATACTGTGTTTACATGAAACAGCAAAGCAATTACTTTTGGTGAGAAACAAAGAATAACAGAAATAATACTTTTCAGATTATTTTAAAAAATAATCTTAATACCATAAAAGTAACAAACATTATTTAATGCTTTTAAAGCGGAATTGAAGAGATTTGTAGTTATATTGTAAAGCAATTCAGAAATTAGAAAGAACGCTACAGTTACACAATGACGAGGTCAATATTCTCTACTATAATGAAGGTTTCCTTTGCTTGATATTACTATTCATATTTTCCATAATTTTAAAATTATAAGCAATCACAAAAATTATTTTCTCAATTTGTTTGAAAATTTTACGCAGTAAGACCTATGGCTGAATTAAAAATATTCTCCGATTTTGTATCTTAAGTACGATTCTCATGCCTTTTTTTTAATGTACTTTTTAACTTGAATTTACAAACACAAGATACATCCATAGACAACTGGATTGAACAACTTTTTCGGACTATTACCGAAGAATTATAATCAGCAGCATTTTCTGTATGACTTGAGCAACATGATCTCCCTAATTAACAACTTGATTTTTTGATCTTATTAATATTAACAATGCAACACTATTGAGTGCATGTTGGGAAGTTTCATGTTTCAAAAAAGGGCAATATTTTCAATTAGAGTATCAAATAATAATATAGACAACGTTTAAATAAATTAATATGGTTCCAATACACTAATTTTCCATTATTTCTAAAAATGTATTACATAACACTTCAATTGATATTGGAAAACATTATTCAATATGACATTTTTTAATAAAAATTAAAATGTGTAAAAATAAAATAGTGCAATCAAACTAATGAAAAGGTCAATTCTATAATTTGCACACCAATAAAATAACAAACCGCAAAAATGTTCAGGATTTAGGTTTTGTTCTTGGAACCATTAACTCCATCCTACATTTTAAAATTTACACCCAACTGTTAAAAAGAATTGTTTTGCAATATTAATATCCAACAAGAAAGTATAAACACATCTCACTCTCTTGTACCACTTATGAAATAAGGCTATTTAGCATAAGTGGCCTAAACTCAAATTTTTAGTAATTTGGAGTTTAATGTTTTAGACACATATCATATTACAAAAATATTTAACTCCAATGATTTCAGTGCTTCTGTTAACAATTATTGTATAATTTTAAATAAAACATGTTGCTGCACTCAGCATAGTTCGTGCAATAATGGCTTATTCTACATGTATCTCTGCCACAAATGAAACTCAGAAATGAATAATCTAAAATGTAAAATTATTTGTCAGCTATTTTCAAAGAACAGAATTCTAGAATATGTCATTACTGCACTAACAGCCTGAAATATTCTCTATTTTGCCTTTCATTCCGTAATATTTATAAAATATTCAAGTTTCTCATTTACACTTTTCTTCCTTTGTCTGCTGAACAAGACAACAGAAATGCAGTTGATATTCTCTGAAACAAAAGTAGATAGTAACGAAAAGTGTACTACTATCATTGGTATGATTTCCTTCTCTTTCAATTAATTATAAAAATAAGTTTAACATAATTAGCATAGAAAGCAAACCCATATTCTGCACACCCATCATTGTTTCCACCTGAATGTGACAGCGCCAGAGTACATTTCAGCTTTCTATTGGTCAAGAATGTCTTGAATGGCACTTTTCATTACAAACAGTAATATGAAGAGGTGAAAGTTTACCTGAAGAAAATTAAATAACTATTTCCTGTAAACTCTCACAAGTGCCACTAAAGAAAGAAACTTTAAATCTGTTTAAAATATGATTTGAAAATTTTACCTCACAAATAGCCTTTATCAAGCGAATCTAACAACTGTGATAATGGAGGAGAGTAATTTTGAAGTGCTTTTCATGAACATTCCAGTAGTTAGCCAACATTATTCTTAAAGCACTGTAAAACTTAACAGGAATCCACAATAGAACATCCACAACATCAAATAATATATTAATGAAACAATTACAAGGAGAGACAGCAAGTCAAAGAACAGGTACAAAGTAACAAACGCAAGATGGCAAACCAAAAACCATATCCCGCAACATTCATGCCATAACATACAACACAGCCAAATTCATAAATCAAAATAAACATTCATTAGCTATATGTTCATGCACTTTCCTATGTAGTATTCCTTTTCAGTCTTACTAACATGTTGCATCAAAATAAAACAAAATAATTCACATCCTTTTAGTCAGTATATACATTGGTGTTTAAAAAAATGTATGGCCCTCAGTAAAGTACTTCTGTAAACAAAAATACCTTCATTGACTAAATAATTGCACAGCTCAGAAGATACTGTCAGTGTGTCTCTTCCAATAACTAGCACTAACATCTTCATATTCATATATGTATACTTTCATTTATATGCCTTAGGAGATTAGCACTTTTCTGTACACATAAAAATTGCAATCAATATTAATATATATATATACTTAAACTTTACATATAAAAAATTAAGAGACAATAGTTTCATCAGTCAATAATAAAATCTATTCAATTGTCATATTAACTACTTTGTACAAATATTTCATAACAATGACTTATTTCATATGGAATTGGATTAGTACAAGAATCCAAAGGGCACCAACGATTTGCACACTCAGGTCACATTCCCATCTTCATTTCTTACATGTATGTACACAACCTATTTACAATATTTACACTAAAAATCATTTTTTTAAAAAGGATAATTCATATATACAATACACAACTCAAAAACACGAGATATCTTCACTCCACACTTTGCTATCACCTCACAAACGTGCAGTTTAACACATCACTTCTCGCCTTTTTCTACTTGATGGGCTAACTTTTCAATCTCAGCCCAAGATGTGCGAACAGACTGAAACAACTGAAAAAAAGAAGAAGAAAAAAAAACAACATTTATTTATGTACATGATAACATTGGTGGAAATTCATTCATATCAATATCAGCACAGTGGAATCTCGTTAGCACATTCCCCCAATTCCATTTGTTCCCACATTTAGTTTGCATTTATAAGTCCCCGCCCCAATTCTGCTAAATAATTTGTTTACATATTTAACAATTACAATTAGCTCATTTAAAGAAGAGTGGCCATTCCTTTTCTGGAACAAATTTCCCAGACTCTTGGTTTTCTAGTCTGGTATTTAATTTTTTTTTCTGAACAATTTTAAATTTCACTACATAAAGAAAATATTAAAGCTCCCTTGATAGTAATTGGACAGCTCTCTGATTTCGCTGTGAAGAAGTGCAAATTAACATTTTCTCACCACATAAAATCTGAGAACAAAATAATGCTTTGTTGTTGTAATGCTGTACTAATGTTTTTAAGGAATAATATCTAGTTTTATAACCCTTTCAAAATTTTCCCTGACTTCTGAAGTCTTCTACAAATGCCCTGATTTTTCCAGAGCAATGACATTCTATGAGTTTCTTGTAAGTGGCCATCCTATAAAGTATATTTGTAACATGTTTCACAATTTCCACAATTCTACTGCAGCAGCTGTCTTCAATGTGGGTTCATTAGAGTACTTGAAAGCAACAGAGGGGTATTTGCAAAGAATATTCAGGGTATTTTCAAACCATTTGACTATGCACACAGAGCCAGAGACTCATGTGTCACTACTGTCCCTCTACTAATTTTGTTCATTGGTTCTCATGTTATCTTGTGTAATCATGTTTCCTTCAATTTCAGACATCAAGTACGCTACTTCTTTGTTTGTTTCTGTTACTCTGCATTCCTGTTAGTGTATTGTTTGCATGTAATTAACTTTTACTCTTATTATTTACAATTAAATTGGTTTGTCCTGTATGAATTTGCATGTTATTTTGTAAGTTAACTTCTATTCCTTATTACAATATCCTGAAGAAAAAACTGTGAAATGACAAATATAACTTTTTTCAATAATCTGTTTTCTCAATTACAATGTTCAAAATTTTCAGACCCTTAAAAAACCTGCAAACAAGATTCCATTGCATATATAAATAGAATATATTTAGCATCAGCTTACCTCGTTAAGCCAAGTTTCATTTGCAAGAAGCTCATTCAAAATAACAGTTGTATCATTCTGATTTCTTTTTTCAGCTACACGCTGTGAACACTCAATAAACATCAAGTATTTCTGATGTGCAACTTTATGGTACAATTCCATTTGGGCTAAACATGTATTGCACAATAAAAAATCCTGAAATGAACAAGAATTTTACATGAGAAAAAGATTGCCATAAAAATGCACATATAATTACATACTTCCATTTCATGGAGTATATGAGTGGTTATCTAGTATCTCATACCAACCTAACTATAAAAATAATTGCCTGAATATAAAAAAAAAAACTTCACACAGACACATACATAGCACCTATGCGTAAGTGCACACACGCATATGCACACACATGCACCCACAGTGAAAAAAGCTTACAAGGGTTTGAATATAAGATATGCAAAATTGTGTATCACAAACATCATTGTAGATCTCATACGCAGTATTTATGTTTAATATTAATAAGTACAATGGAACCCCCTAATCCAAAACCTGCCAACCTGAAATTTTGAATAATATGAACAAAATTCACGATAGAGAAAAATATAAACAAAACACACCAGATGTATATTAATTTAATTTATGAGCAAAAAAGCATGAACACAGTGGAAGTCAACCCCATTCTGAATACTGAACATAGAATACCTATTAACAGAAGCGACACTAACTATGCTTCAACTCTCCTAAACAAACTACCAACTACTACCACATACAATCAGTTATATCGTACTGTACTCCGTTGTTTGCAACATTGGCACTTCATGTTGCTATGCTACATTGCCATTTTCTCACATTGCATGCTACAATGTATTGTCTGGTAATCCTATACATGTATTTGTGAATGTATGGTACATTTTTTTGGATAACCTGTACACTTCCATATCCGAATAGATTACACCCCCAATTACTTCAAAATACCAGGGTTCTACAATATTGTTAATATTTAATTAAAGTGTTCATTTCAACATTTCTAATGATATCATAATTAAGTTGTCCTGTCAGATTTTCACAAGACTTGACAGGAGTCAGAGATTGCATTTTCATTTTCAGCAGTAAATCTTCTCAGTTGATTTAAGTCATTCACCTTGTGCATGTTCACATGTTAAGCCACTCCAGAAATAAGGATGTCATAAAATAGCAAAATGTTGTTCTCACAATACGATGTTACCAATACTCTCGCTAACACGCATAAGCATCAGTCCTGAAGAGAATTCTACAGAACTAATGATACTATCCATGCTGCTTGAGAAAACCAAATTTAAAGAAACTTACCTTTTCATTTGCTACTTTTGGATCTGGTGGGCATCCCTCCAGAGTTGTACTGTTGTATGGCTGACCATACATTTGTACACGAACTGATACAGCAGTTTTTTCACAAGCAGCACATAATTTTGTTGCGTCTTCATCCAGAGGCAAATCTGAGATTACATTGAAGCATGGCCATGCTCCAACACTTGTCACAACACTTGGCTTCCACTTTGTTACTTTTAATAATCTTTGTTTGCGATCTTCTGTGATATCATCAACTTTTTTAACACTTGCCAAAAAATATTCATCTAGGAATGAAGAAATTAAAAATTTCAAAATTACACATAAAAAAGAGATATATTTTTAAATTGAAACGGCCAAATTAAATCCAACTACAGGGAAACACACATTGTTTCATTTTGACAGATATTAAAAAAACACTTCAATCCCAAATCGGAAATCAATTAAATTTCTTTAGTTAGCTTCAAAATAAAAAATAATTTTTTTTTGTATGAGAGCTATACTAAAGTTTTTCAAAATTTGCTTCACCAGTATTGTTAAAACAAATTGTGAACATCCCAAAATTGAGTAACACAAAAGCATAAATATGCTGCTCAACATGTATTTCACTAGATATTTTTTTAAAGTCTAACAACTATTTTTGTTCCTTCAAGACCCATTACATTGAATCAATGTGTAAGTTCTATGAATACTTAGAGATGAAAAAGTTTAAACTCACCTCCTTCCTGTAGTATTTCAGGTAAAAAGTTAGAATCCAGAGCTTGAGAAATTAGAGTCTGGATGTACACTTCAAAATTATCTTGATACTTCGCTGTCTCTTTCATTGATCGCTCAAAAACATCACTGTATAACAATATAAATTAATTTTACAAAATAAAATACTAATCAAAAATTACACTGTTAACAAATACACATATTTCCAAGATCCTTCAAACAACTTACTTATTTTGTGTAATATTGTAAGAACAACAAAACATTTATTAACCCAAGTATGTACGACCCTTTTAATGTAGTAAAAACTGTTTTCAATAATACCACTAATTTTACAATAAAATTATTCCTATTAATATGGATATTAAGGAACACTAAATTTTTAATAGGAGTAAAATTATACTCAGCACCATCAGATATGTTATTACAACTTTAATTTTATATCACTTTTAATTTTAATCGTATTAGAGAAAAACAATCATCAGTTAGTACAACCAAATTTAAAACAATCTAAACAGAAGTACTAATTAATAATAAACGCAGCAAAGTAACTCAATATAATTTGGACATTTGCTATTTAATATACTATTTTTTCAATGGTACTTTATTAAAATTCACATCATGCCGACAAAAGTTTAACCTCCTAACAACTATACAGTTGTGTTAAAAATTTATTTTGAAACAAACCATTTTAACAAGTTTTATACAAGACAGAAATGTAAAAGTAAAGTCCGAACGTAATACAGAGAGCTGTACATCATCAACCATCTCCATGAAATTGACACTTCATGGAACAACATTCAGCATTATTCAAAACACTATTAACATTCAACACTTATGATTTTCTGCAGACATGTCAGCATTATTACACTGATAATAGAATAAAAATAAAAATATACTTACTCATCACTGAGGAGTTCATCTCTTAAAAACTCCACAATGGTTTCCATTCGATTTTGTACTCTGAATTTGACGCGGACTTGCTGATATACATGCTTGTTTTGAGAAGTCCATCCAGAATACTACAAAAGTAGATACATAACAAGTAAACAAACACACTGGATATCTAGGTTTAACTACACTTTAAAATAAACCACTTACTGTAGATATGTTTCGGTAAAGTGTTTTTCCATTTTCTTGAAATGATTCATACTTTTGAAGAAGAGTTTTTCCATCAATTCTCCAGATAGGGGGATTTTCTTCTTTCAAATCACTTTTCATAACTACAAATTCACCAGACTGAAACAAGAAAAGTATTACAGTAATATTCACTAAAATATACCCTTACCTTACACGAAACATGAGTTTTAAAAGTTGTTGTTTCAAAAGCTGACTACTATACCATGAATTTCCAAATGTAAGGGGCACCTATATTCCCAAATATTGACCATTCAAAATCGCAGCGTACTTATAGGCTTGTACAAAGTAAGCTTCCTCAAAATTATGCATGTATTCACATAAGGTAATGGGTAACACAATAAAAAAACAAGCTTCCTCAAAATTATGTAATAATTCACAAAAGATTATGGTAAAGATTTTGTAAGATCATTCACATACCACGTTATTATTCATTTAACATGTTATCAAGCAGCAAAAGGACAACAAAATTTACAATGAAAAACTAAAATATTTTCCTATCTGCTAGTACTTTTTTGCTTTCTATGACCTTGATTTTGGGGATGCACCTTACATCTGTATATGCTTTATGATGCATTAACATATAAGTTAGACAGCCCATTCACACCCCATCAAAAGTCCCCCAGGTATGAAGTACGAAATACTTTACAAAATATATTATATGTATTTCTTTCACTCACATGATAAAACCACATGCACAGCAAATTTTGCCTGAATGCAGTTGCTACTGGTAAGGAGAAAAATGGCTGCTAGAGAGTAGATTCTTGAAAGAAGTGAAACTGATGAGAAATTGAAATGAAAATCTAATTATGTACTGTAAATCTCATCATACACATATCAATGCATTATTATGCTGCATGTACAAAATGAAAAGGATAGAAAGGCAAAAAAGTATAAGAAAGGAACAGAAAATTGCAGACAAAACTACAATTAAGAAAGCCCTGAAGTATTAAGATATGCTTAAAATATAATAAGTGGTTAACTGAAGACACATGAGAAAAAAATAAAAAAGTTTCTTATCTTTAAAAATATTCAACCACAAATTGGCTTAAAAAGCTCTATAAAAATACACTAATTATTTTTCATCATGTCAATTATGTTGATATTCAATTTCTTTTATATTGCACAATAAAAATTACTGGCAGGAAAAACAAATCTGAAACTCGTACACTGTAGCACTAAATATTTTCTCCCCCCAGAATTTCACAACAGAGAAGACCCACCTTGAAAGGAATCTCATTGGACTCTTCTTTTTTGGATAAATTGCCAGACTCTCTATTACTGGATCCAGTAGCTGCCTCCTCTTTATCTACTGTAGCAGCATTAACTTCCATTCCCAAATTAGGATCCACAACTACATCTGAAGCAGCACTGGAAGTAACAGATGCCAAAGCAGGGGCTGAAGGAAGAATTTGTAGAGTGGTGCTTAAAGACCGAGGTCGCCCCTTCCCCTTGATTGGTAACTTCATTTTCTGACGACGTCTGTCAATCGATGCATCTTCACTCCCATCGGTTGAAGCACCTTCATCCTCAGTAACGCCCGGTGTCATTAAACGGGGCCTTTTTCGGCTGCTCAACAGAGTTGCTGATCGCCTGGACCGGCGCCGATTAGCCATATCATCATCTGATGAATCCTGCAAAAGACAAAATCAAAAGTGATTGTGATTACTAACTTATTGTAACTTGTATATTTGTAAACTGGGGTTATATGGGTATCCAGCTCTTTTTCCATCACAGAAAGGATACATTACATATATAAATGATAGACGTTACAATAAATAATTAATGTGATAAAAAAAAAGAAATAACAGAATAGAAGTTAAATACAATATATGTATGGTATGTATATATTAAATATAAATATACAAATAACTTTGAAAATAGGCTCTCAATGTATATATGCATTTTCTTTCAAACAATCTGCAAACCTTAATTAAAATTAGTCCAATAGGGTTTTCTCTCTTAAAAATTTGATTTAAATGTAATATGAAAGAAAAAATGCTCGTCTTCAGGAAATATCAGATTGGAATGTGTCAATCACATTCCGCCCCTAGAGATGTCAACTATAATACACACAATTACACAAATGTAATTGTTTTGAAATATCTTCCACACCTTTAAATGTACATTTCCAGCAATTTGGAAGCACTATTGCATTTGTGACTGGAAGTGCTTGAAATAACTTTATATGAAGTTTTTCGGAAACCCAATAGTTTCTTGTGAAAAGAGGTTCAAATTTTGTATTTACAGTAGTGCTGAGTCACTATTTTCTTAAAAACAGCTCCAAATTTTTCAAAGAAAATTGCCATGAACGACAAGGTTTTATTGTTATTTAATATTCTTAAAATAATATTTTTGTTCTACAACTTAAAAAAATTAACAAAATGTCACAAAATATACTTTAGGCTGTGATAGATGGCAGCAGGCAAGAGTATGTATATAAAGAGTAATATACTTAGTACAATAAAACGTGTTCAATGCGGAATGTGTATAATGCGGAAATCTGTCTGAAGTGAAATTAAAACGCAGTCCAGCCAATCACATTCTACACTATTACATAGCACGAAATAGAATATTGTCTAATAAGGAAAACAATTCTGGTCCTTTGAGGTTCCGCTTTGAGTAAGTTTTCCTATATACAGAAAGTTATATAATGCTGCGGAAAACCAATTTCGAGATTTCAACGGAAATACACATTTTGGGGTTCCCTGCTGCAATCTGTTCTCAAAATGTCTGTCAATCTGTTCGGCTGGCCATCCGTCTGTGAACACCACTAATGCATAAACCATACATAGGATTTTTTCCTAATTGGATATTCCCCAGTCTATATGGTTCGACTCGAAGCGCAGCAAAATTGAAAAACATTCTTTAAAATTTTTGGCACTTTACATGAAGCCCCATGGACATTTTCAAAATTTTCCAAAATTTTCAATAGATGGCAGGAGTATGGAGCAAGTCCAAAAAAGTTGGCCCAGACCAATGAAAATAGAAGACTAAAACAAGAAAGCTTGTGCCATTCTGTCGCTCCACTAGTTTTCATATCGAACGAATTAATTTTTTAACTAAAAATAAAGAGTATTTAAACAAAATAGGACACTGTTACAAATAATATTAAATATTATTTGTTACATTGTTAAAATATATTAAATACAGTCACTTCAATATGCAGTTACCCATGTTTTTGATTTGGACAGCAGATTTTGGCAACAAGCCCTAGGTTCAACATCGCAATGTGCAGATTTACCATCTTCCTCGAAGGTGCAATATTTGATTCTTGTGTCATCTGGTTTAACGACTGCAAAACACTGCCACAACATCTGCCATTCATATCCACGTCAGATGGTTTGATGTGTGATTCCACATTGAAGGGCATAGGTTGATCATCATCTACTTCCATATTGAAAGACTCGGAAAGTTGTAAGATACAGAAATACCTATCAGAACTGTCAATCTCTATCAATATCAGAACCATCATTTCCTTCCAGTGACAATGATCTATCTTACAAAGTACTGGCTAAACTAGATGTGGAAATAGAATTAATTGAAATGTCTTCTCAAAGAACAGTTGCTACACACAAATATTGTTTCTATTACTTTTCAAACACTACACTAATTAATGCTCCTTCCCTTAAATTGCTGTTGCAGTACACACTTAATTCGAAAGCAGTAACTTATTGAACATTTGCATAATTTCAGTTTATTTATACACATGCCAAGAAGAGAAACAAGAGTCAGTAAAAGAAGTATTCTGTGTAAAGTATATAAACTTGTATTATTTTGAGTTAAAATCTTAACTTGCCCAATATTCAAATTACAATACGTTATAATATTATTCATACAATTTTGTTTTGCATTATTTGTCTTTTCTAATAAACATACAATATTAAAAAGAAAATAGAAAAACTACAAAAAATAATTAAACAAAATCTAATTTTAAAAAATTAATAAGAAACTATGAAGTTAATATTTTATTCATATTGAGCTGTTGGGCATAAATTATGACTTTATATGTATTTCCCACTGTTTTTGAAGTAATGCAATGCATTTTCTAAGTACTGTAACATAAACAACAGGTTAAACTCTGAAAAAGTTCCACGAAATATAATTATTACATAATGTTCTCTGATTAGCAAGCAGATGAATTCCAGACCTGCATCTGTTATCTGTTTAAAAAATAAAATGCTAAGAAAATAATCATGCATTATAATAATACGCTTAAAGTTACGGTTATTTTTATTTAATAATATTGGCATTAAGCACTGGATACTTTTGTATTTTATATTTTGTATGTGAGAGGACAAGCTAGAATTGGGTAATATTTAAATACAAAAATGTTTATAATAGATTTTGTTCATTTATTATTGCTTATTTTAATTTTATTCAAAAACCAACATAGAGTTGGAACAGGTGCTGAAGGTGAGTTGGTAGTAAAAAGAAAAAAAGTTTTTGGGGTCCTTGTTGCTACTAAAGTCTCTTGCAACAATAAGATTACCTGAAACGCAGACATATGGCATGAAAATAATATTCAAATTCTCATTCTGCATTCTTTGGTCTTAAAAATGCTAAACAGGTAACTCTTCATTATAACAACATACAAACACAAAAAATTGAAACATGGAGCAAATTTCTGCAAAGCATACAAGAAGCAAGAGGAATGTCAGAAGAAGAGAGACAGAAAATCCAACAGTTCAAGAAATGAAAAGGCATTTGTGGCTTTGCTGACTTCAGCAACTTCAACAAAGTACATAAACTTTCATTCATTGGTCCACATTACTAATAAAGACAAGTTGACAGAATTATGACAATTTTCCAAATATCGATATAATTGTGTTCCTTCAAGCAAAGGTATTGGCAATGTAAAGATATATACAATGACAAAGGATGGTGTGGAGCAAGTGACAGCGAAGGATGTTGTGTATGTTCCGGGAAGTATTGCTGTCTGTGAGCATAGGATTCTTAGTTGCTTTCACATCACAGGATAGTTACATCATCAACAATGATGGGGAACAGTTCACCAGATTGATAGGGGTGGGATCTACAAGCTAGATGTGCAGACAAAACAGGCATACTTGGTAGAGGGATTTGAGCATGGTGTTATGGCATAGGCGACTTGGTCACTTAAACTACAAAAAAGTGGCTGACCTGAGTAAAAACCCAGTCAAGAAAGTAAGCTTCCAAATACACAAAACCCACCATGTGAATCTAGTATTCAGGACAAGCAACACATGACCTCTAAATTTTTAGAACTAATTTCATTTACGACAAAAATCATAACCTTCAGTATTGTACTTTTACACCTAATTATTTGCAATTTTGAATTCTGCAAAAAATGGGACCAGCAACTCCTTTTTTACTATTTGACACATAAGGAAAAAAATTAAAGAAAAAATTCAGAGTCGTTTTGAGAAAATTGTTTAAAAATTGCCTATATTCAAGCAAAATTACCCGAAAACTACTCATATTTTTGAAAAGTTGAACAAGAGTTCCCATTAAGAAAAAAAAGTTCAATATTGTAGCTGCAGGAAGTCATTAAAAAAAATTTAACTTTCTCAATTTTTGGAAATTCATATATTTTAACGGAAATGAGTCCCGTGCATTTTTTAAAAAGTTGTTTACCCTCTCTGAGGGCAATGATTTTTATTTTTTAATTCGAGCCTTCTGTGATAAAATTTTGATAATGTTAGTATTCACGAAAATTACCCCAAAAGCAAAATACCCATTTCAAATTCGCAGGGCATCGATCTCGTTCTGATCGATACGACAATATTAATTTTGGAGAAAATCGTCTGAATGGTTTTCCTCTAGCGCTGACCACCGACGGACAGACATTTCGACGACAATCGCTTTTCGGTATCAACGTCCCCCAAAGCACGGATTCTGACTGCATATTGTGATAGAGAAAGTAGTAATTTACTACATTCAGGAACAAGATTTATTCAATTTTTCGTTATTAGGGTCCGGCAATAAGCGTTTCCTTCGAAAAATCGCCGTTTTCTGGCGCACGATTACGATACTTTCTGATCGAGATAATGTACTAGGCTAATTTCTCCACATGAAATAAAGAGATCGAACAAAAAATATAGTTTTGAGTGTTTTCTCGCACGGCCGAAGGAAATACACTGGCCGTTTTACTCTAGATTGCCAAACACGATGTGGGTGTTAAACAGCCCTCCGACGAGTCGGCAACGAGTGAAATCGACGATTGTGAAACAAGATGCGTGTTTCACTGCTGGAAATTGGAGATCGGTATTCTTATCGCACGGTGGTGTTAACACAAACGCTTCATACAGTTCGTCATCACGACCATGGAAGGAGCAGCCAGAAGCAATCGGCCAAGGAGGTGAGAATTGGGGTGAATACTGACTTCATCTGATTACATTGGGTTCATTCTAAGGCTAAACGAAGATTTGACTTTACATAATTGGGAAAACATGGTGGGGTGTACTAGGATTTATTTAAACGTGCGACGCAGTGGCTCCGCGACCCGGCCCTAGAGCTGCGGTGCGTCGAGAAGGGGGTGGACGACTTCGCGAGGGACTACTGGCGGTTGAACGCCTACCGCCTCTGTTCTGGGGCAAGATACGGGAATAGAATCCGAAAGAAATTTAATAGGTTTAGTGATTTTAAGGCCGTAAATAACGAAAACGAATTTGCAAGTCCTTTCGCTGCGAACAACGTAAAAATCAGATCGCAAAACCGCGTGAAGTTGCATATTTGCAGAATGTCACGCACCTAAAAAGTCATTAACTAAACTCTACACAAAAACTTGATTGGTACTTCAAAAAGAAAACTATATTTTTATTTCAATTACTAATATAATTCGTAAATGTGCAATCCATCCAACCGTTCTGAAGACCGCCCACCACAAGGCGCAGGCTTCTCAATACCTTTCCTGCCCATCACAAGGGACCCTCTTTTGGGGGCGTCCTGGTAAGCAGACACTAGCTGCCACCCTCATGTCCTCTCATAATGCAGGAGTACTGAGCTTTGAACTGTGATTGTTTTTTCTTATTTGTGCCACATTTTTTTCACAACAGATTATCTTTAGATTAAGTGTGCCAAGTCTTAATTTTGCAAAAAAGGTATTTTGACAAATTTTCAAACAGAAATTACAGAACACAATTGCAAGCATCAAGGTAATAAAATTAATTTCATAATCTTTATCAGTATATTTTCCAACTTCAAAAGTAACTTCAAACTCAATTTCCTCAATTTTATACAACGTAATTTGAACCACCTTTTCACTGAGTGCCACAATCAGTGTAGCCACTTTTCCATAGACAAATTTCTCCCTTTACCCCAGGACATTATTTTTAACTTTTCCCTGTCAAATTTTGAAGAATATTTATTTGAAGAGCATTTAAAGAAAATATTAAATATAAGCAAGAATTGATATTAAAACCATGTTATTGACCAAGTACTCTTCTCCATTGTATCTCAGATTCTCTTGCAGAGGCAAAGCATTTCAAAACCTTGATTCTACCTCTCATTATCTACTTGTCAGCTCTTTGATTTCAGCATGAAAAAATAAATTATCAACATCTGCTTCACAAATAAAAATTGGACCAAAAATAAAGAAGTACTAATGTTTTTTAATAATAATGTCTTTTTTATAATTATCTCAAAAATGCCCCATCTTTCAATGATTCTTCTAAAATCTAAACATTCCCACAGCTTTCCCAAAACCTGGCAACTAATGTAAACTGCTTTCAAAAACTTTGTAACTTTTGCATCCAAAGATAATTAGCAAATACTCATTGTTCTAGGATTTGCCTCATGGCAGTAAGTGTAGCTTTCTTCTTCGCAAACATTTTATCCACAAAATAAGAAAAAATCTATATTGACAAACAAGTTTCCTTAAAAAAATATTATTACATAAGCACTGGAAAAATTAATTTTCTCATTTCAATCATATAATGCTATTCAATATAATAATTTTTGGTTAAAAATCTTTATATACAAATATTATATTTCATTCTTTCCACTCATTTAAAAGTGTCCACATTTGAAGGGTTTTCGGAAAAACAGCAATAGTCCTAAATTGAGAAAATGGAGCTAATGATGTCACCTGGCAGTGTGAACTTGGATCAGAGGATGATATCGACTCAGTCTAGAAGTGCATTAGTCCCGAAGAACACAAACAAAGAAAAATAGGTGAGCTAGGAAGGTGAATGTTTTTTTCTCATTTCCCACAAATTGGACTGATGCTGCAAGAAGCCCTTCAATTAAATTCCACATACATGATTTATACACTCACAAAAAGTGTTTTCTAAGACTCTGTCCATTCTTTTAAAAGGAAGGAAAAATATATTTATTCCTGAACATAACTACTAACAAGATAACATTGCCAACAATGAGAGATTTAAATACTAAGCTTTCATTCTAATGACCACAGAAGAAGAAAAATAAATTTATTTGTTTGCCATTTTACTCTCATTGCAATAGCCAATAACAAACCCCGTTTGAAGATTTAAAACTATATGGTGCAAGGAAACTGTTTGAACAAATGTGAGTGTGCATGATTGAGAGTCCCAAGTTGTTCTACTTACTTTTGCTGGTGTCCAAGCTGGATCTGAATCTGAGTCCATAAACTCTGGCTCATCGACTTCAAATTCTTCATCAAGAAGAGCCTGTTGATCTAAACTTTTTAAGTTAGTTAATGTTTTCTCTTTTGCTTTTCGCCTTGACAGTTCTCTTCTTGGAAGATTTTCTGAAAATCCAGGCAAAACCAACAAATTAACAACTGCTAGACACTAGCGTTGCATTGAACACGTATTGCCATTTTAACATAAAGAGGCTACAAAATTATGTTATAATCAAGACTGGAAAAAAGTTTCCTTAAAAGAAAAAAATACTCAATAGGTATTTTTGGATTCATGTGGGCTTTATTATATTATTTTTTAAATTCAAGTCCATATAAAGCACTGACTTTCGTAATTTGAAAAGTCAAATTGAACAAAATTCATGACGTATACATTTGATGCATCCAAATATTAACAACTCCACCCTCTTTCAAGATTTCAAACTCACAATGATTATTGATAATATAACTATTCATTAATATTATTATGTTTATTAATAAAGTAGCAAATGTGTTACCTGTAGCCCAGATGCAAAAAGTAAAATTTAAAGTAAGTTAATTTCGTCCGTGTGTTCTTTGTTTTTGATTGTTGTTTCTGGGCACGTCAACTATCATGTTATTAATCTCATTTGTGTAGTGAATATTCCCAGAGGAGGCAATGTTCTTTCCCTGCTAGATAGTGAGATTCGGTGCCTAAGTACAAGTCAGCTAACAGGAGACACCCCTCCTCCAGATATATCCCCCAGTGGAGAAGCACCACAGGCTCTAAGCTCTCAACTGGTCCCCTGACTTGAGTGGTAAGAGTAGTGCTTGTACGGATCACGTGTGTGGATTAAGGGAGAAAGGGACGTGTGAGAAGATACGCAAGTCACACGCAGCCCATTGCCTGTTTGTTAGGTATTGACCTGAAATACACCTAATAGTGTTTGAAAAAACCGAAACTACCAATCAGAGCTGCAAGCCATTACATTTCTCCTCTACATTGCAGTTAAATTCAACCTAGTGTCAAAACACCCAGTCAGGACTCGAACCCAGGACTTCCCAGCTGCCGAGGCAATGGTAATGCTGCCTCTGAGCTATTTCAGCTGTTTTTGTTGTTTGGTTGTGTGTAATGAAATTGGCATTGTCAAAAACAGAAAATAAAGTTTTTATTTTATTGTCAATTCACTTTATTTGTTTTTGTAACATTTGGATGTCCGTTTTTTGTTCTACGTACAAATTTGCATCTACGCATTTGTTGCAATGAAATTTCACCTTTAAAATAATATATCGATACACAAAATTAAAAGTTATATTTTTTTTTATTTGAAATAATTTTAAAAACCATTAAAACATTTTTTTCCCTAAGTGATTTTTTTGGGGAGTACGCAATGTTAAGCCAACCCCATTATTTTAGGGAAACCTGCACTTGTTTTGCTCATTGAAACAATTAAAATCAATCTGAAAATTAACAATTTTCTTCCTTCACAATGAAAGGAAAATACTACTTGAAATTTTAATTGAGTTGTGTTTATCAGCTCTAAAACATTACTTGACCAGGTTGAATCCATAGAAAAAACTTCTACTTTTTTCAGTCTTTAAACTTTAACCAAAATAGTAACTGCTTTTTAGGTACAGTGGATTTAAGGCTTCCTTTTGCATTAGGATATAAATGACCAAAGTTATTGAAAGTACAATTCATAAAAAACTGAGTTGTGAAATGTAGTAATGAAACATGAGAATATTATTTATCACTATACTTGTAAATTTTACACATTAGTCATGTCTTCTTACGTTTTGAATATTATTCACTAAAATATTTTTATTATTTATTTCAGTAACCACGCTACATTGGGTAAATTAGTCACATGTAATGTTGCAATGAGAAAAATAAAATTATATTTCTACATACTTAATAAGAAAGTTAAAAAAAGAAGAATGAAATGACAATCATTTCTTGCATACTGCTAACAAATTTACAAGTTACAGTGTAATAATTTAATTGCAATTTTGAATAAAGAATATAGTTCTCTTGTAATTCTGAACAGGATTTTATGGTTTGGAAAACAATTTCAGAAATGACACGAAAGAAGTGTGTGATCTGAACCCTTCAGAAGTTGTCAACTGGTACTGAACTATCGATTATAATTAAAGACAATATATTGATCGTTTTTAAATTTTCTTTAAGAAATTTTGGACAAATAAAAAGTTATGGTTTAGAAAATTTTCAACAAAAATATTTATATTGACCATCAGATTAAAAATACACTACAGGAGTGAAATTATACAAAAATAAAATAATAGAAAAATGAAAAACATTACCTTCTTCCACCTCTTTTTTCTTCTTAGTTCCAGTTCGAGACTTGCCAGAAAATTTTTTTGCTTTCTCTCCTCCAGCAGCCTTATCACTGCTTGGTCCACTCTTTGAAATATCATCAGGCAAGCGAGATTCTGGTATTATTGTCTCCTGTGCTACTTCAGAAACTGAAGTTTTGGAGGTTGAATTTTCTGGTGAACTGCCAGAAGAGGAATCAGAAATATTGTCCTGATTTGTAACAGTTTGTGATCCAGATTTTGAATTTTGATTAGTCTGCAGTTTTGACTGAGGTTTCAAAGAGGTTTTTGTTCCAGATTTTAATTTTATCTTATCTTTCTTGTTTTTTAAATCCTTCTCATTTGAAGGATCTACACTTTTATCAGGTTCTTCCTTCTCTTCCTGTTTTGTTTTCGGAAGCTCTTTTTTCTTAGCACTTTCACTACTACATGGCTCAAATTCGTCATCAGAATCTGAAAAAGTCCCATTTCTTTCTTTTTTCAAAGGAAAATACCTTGGATCATCTTGTGGATCATATACCGGAGTTTCTTTAGGTTTAAAAGCACATGGCTGTGATTCAGTAGATGTTTTAGTAATTGTGGTACTGCAAGTAGACGATGTTGATGGGGCACTTGTAGCAGTTGAAGTAACAATAGCTGTAGTGGAGGCCACACTGCTGGATGTTACCTTCGGGGCTTCTGGCGGAGGATGATACGCCTTGTTTTTGGCCCATGATGCTTTATTACCTCTTTTGGTTTGAGGCGGTGATGTATCTCTTTCCCCCTGAAGAAATTTCATGTAACTTGCCATGAAGCCAGATGCTGGATTTGAATATGAGAACGGTTTCTTCTCAGGCATTTTAGTATTGGAACTGTTACCCGCTGTACTACTATACACTGACTTCACAGGAGCACTAACACTGTTATTCGCAGTTGTTGTCACAGGAGAATCACTAACTTCAGCAAGGAACCCTAGTTCTTCTTCAATATTTGGAACAATTACCTTCGGATGATCATCAACGGAGTTAGGCCCAGTACAACTACTGTTCTCACTCCCCGGTTGATTTTCAGAATTTGGTCTTGTGGTTGAATTCACTGATGCCTGAAATTCATGAGAGGGATGCTGATTTGGTGGCTGACCTGGAGTGTGAAGTGGGAATGCAGGAAAATATGGCAGAGGTGCAGCTGTGTGATGTGGATTAGGGACCATTAGAGACGGGTGCTGATGAGCACTATTAACAAAATTGGAGCCATGGTGTAAAGACGTTTGGGAACCAAAAGCGCCTGGTCCTCCACCAAACATTTTTGGTGGAGGAGGGGGGAGATTCCACCTCTCAAAATCAAAGTACGCCCCATTCTGAGTTTGTTGATTAGAGGAGTGGGTATTATGGTGGGCAGGAGGTGGTACTCTAGCATAAAACTCTGGAGTGGAAGTATTAGGAACACTGTTGGCTACATTAGAATTAGCTTTCTCTCCACTTTTTCTGCGTTTATTACTGCTACCACTATTACTACTAGAATTTGTATTGTTATTTGTCTTACTTAATGGGCGGTCATCGGATTTCAATGGTTGGGATACAGAACCAGGCTGTTGTAACTGACATGGCTGGTGTAAGGTTTGCAAATTTTTAACAATGGTCATTGGATCACCACGGCAGTTACTCAAATCCTGCAAAGTAACCTGCCCAGGATTCGAGTCAAAGTATGCTGACTGACGCTCTGTGATATTTGAAACTCCTCTTACTTGGGAACCTGACTGATTTTGTGGAGGCACCGACGGGTTATCAAGACCTACATTACTTGGAGTATTGTAACTTGCAGAATTGCCAGTAAACTTGCCTGCATTTCTAGAGCTGGAAACTTGCCTATCTCCAGAGTCCCAACAATTCTGTTTCTGAGGAAACTCCTGATGTTGATGGTGTTGGGATCGTGTTTCACTGTTGAAAGTTTTACTATTTCCTTCCCCTGAAGTAAGCGCCCTGGTTATCACCGATGAGTATGCCACTTGACTGCTTTGGGACGATGGTCGTGGCACACTCACATCCAATGGAGAAGCAGGAGTCACCTGCTGGGAGGAAGGATTACTGTTATGTTGTCTGTTGTTCCCATTAGAACACTGATTTGCAGAGGTATCTGAGTGAAGTTGCAAAGGGGAAGGCGAAGACATAGAAGCAATTGGACTATTATACAAAGGATATCCTGGGCTTGGTACATGGCTAAGTGGAGATGCTTGAGAATGTGCCTGAAGTGGACTTGGACGACGAGGGACCACCACACCACAGTCAGGACTGTTTTGAGAAGAATTGTTTGAATTCAAAAGCCGTTCTGAATAAGAAGAGTCTGTACTATTGGAAGATTTCACATTTCGATTACTATGGTGATAATCAGCAGTTGCCTCACTTCCAGCAAGTGCAGAATAATGTCGTGATGAATATGATGTACTTGTGGGTGCAGCAGTAACAGGTGTTGTTTGCGGGGACAATACATGCTGAAATTGCTGTAAATTTGAATTAGAATTGCGGTGAGTACCACTAGGTGGAACCTTAGCAGAATTAGATCCTGTTCCGCAAGAACTGGTGCTCTGAGCACCAGAATAATTTAATCCCTGTCGATGTGCTACTGCATCCATCATTGCAAAACTAATGGGAGAGGACTGACTAGATTCATGTGCATTGTCACTACGGCGGGTATGATCTGATGTACCTAAATCAGGATAAATTTTAGTTTGTGCCTTTGTTTGAATACCATGATGCACTGATGATTTGCTAGTAGGGGGCACAAAGTTTTGGCTTCTAGATGATGTCTTTTCAGCTGGCTGTTGAGGTCTTGAAGACCCAGATGCACTGCTCAAAAATACAGAGTTGGATGACCTTGAGGAAGGGTGAGGAACTCTGTAGTCTTTAGAAGTAACAGACGATGATGTTGTAGTTGAGACAATGCAAGACTGCTGCTGAGACAATGATGAGCTGGTTGTATAGCTTTTGGAATTGGAAGTGTATTCTGACGAAGTATTATGTTGAGATTTACTACTGAAATTTCCAGAGAGAGTTGTACAGTTCCCTCGTGATGAAACAGAATCAGAATTTGCATAAGCTGTGGATGAATTCTGAGAGTAAAAAGAGTTCCCCCCAGATACGGATGAAGATGATACAGCAGGTTTCACCGGTGTTACACTAGGAGACTGGGATCTTGAGGTCTTTTTGTTAGAATTTTCAATATAACTATTTGAAGATTTGTTGAAATCAGATGCAGCTGACAATTGAGAATTAAGATGGTTTAAACTTTGTGCTGCAACAAAGTGAGCATTAAATGTACTTTCATAAGACGATGAATTAGTTTTTGTTGATGCTGTTCCTTGAGAAGATGTGACAACAGTTTCGTGAGGTAGAATTCCAAATGGGCTTGGAAGTTGGGATGTGCCTTGAGACCAGGGTAAAGATGATGAGGAGGAGGAGGCCTGATGTTCAAAAAATGAGTTACTTGAAGCTGCAACAGCAGCGGCAGCAGCAATACTTTGATGTGCTGAACTGTAGTTTTCTCTGATAGATGACAGTTCAGGTTCCACTGCATTTGACTTGGTTGCTGCTGCTGCTTGTGCTTGAGCCAGTGCCTGCCTATGCTGACTGACATTAATTGAGGAACCATAATGTGCTGGCTTTGGGTTCGCATGATGGAAAAGCGGGGAGAAAACCGAGTCATAGCCAACAGAAGGAGGAGTTAAGAAACCTCCAGGACTGAAAGGAGAAGGAGTGGACCCAGGTGCAGCAGCAGAAAGCTGACCTAGCTGTCCAGCCAAGGTGGCAGTGGTGTGGGCGGCTTGCAGCAACAGCTGAGAAGTAGTGGAAGGCACCCCGCCACCAGGTGGCTGGTGACTCCCTAGGCCTGTGTTGCCCGTGGTGGCCAAGTGATGATGGGAGGTGACAAAGTCACCTCCACCACTTGCAGGACTGGCTTGAAAGCCGCCTGTTGCCCCAGCCAGGCGGTTATAAGATGCTGCGTACGCGGACCATGGCCCCACTGGATCCATTACCTGAATGGAGTCGCTTGAAAAGTGTCAGATCTAATATTCTTCCCTTAAATTCTTTCACAAGATGACATTTTGCTGTTGGATGAAAATGAACAATACAAGAAAACAAAGAATAGGAAGTTGGGGTGATAGCAGATCATTATTCACATCTTGTTCTATTCTTCACTTCACAAGCATTTGCTTCTCAGCATTTTTATTTTGATGAAATACTCCGCCTATGAAAGAAGAAATACGTATTCAGCTATGATACATGGTAAAGAGTGGCTATTGTAAAAATCCAAAATATTAGCATGTCAACGGTGATTCTACCTCGATTTCGTCGATAAATAAATTCGCAGGTCATAGAAAGGCGTTTAAGGTGAATTAAACAGCTAACTGCTCTATGTTAATAAGAAGACGCAATGAATTGATTAAAACAAGCATGTGAACTCTCGGCAAAATCAAAACATAAAAGCACATCTGCCATCACCAATCCATACTCAGCCTCCACCGCTACAATGATAAGGAGACGTGAAATCTTTACTAGTACATTATTCTAGACCAAACCAAATGCCGAATATCTTCATGCAATGAACTACCTTTTGAATTCGCATTCCCTGAAGGCTCCCTCATTCCGCATACTATAAACATGGCTTCAATCCCATTCGTTAAGTGACACCATTCCCACAAAGAGACGTATAGTACTTACGTCTTCAAGCTAGCAAGACCTTGCAGGAGGGTCAATACGCTTCAAATTTCTCAAAATCGCGCTCCACAATAATCACCGCGAGTGTTATTTAATAAATCTTTCAGACAATGCCAAGTACTTCACATTACACGCCGCCATATTGGCTCCTAGTCAACAACAGGATGCGCCATCTATCGATCATAACGAAAAACCGCCTTTTTTCAAATGTTTTGGCGGTAATTTAATATTCTATTCCGCAAGCCACCAATGCCCCCCCTCATGGCACTTGTGGGAGCACACCCCCTGTTTTTTTTAACTATCAAAAGGTCAGGGTAAATAAATATAACACCATATATATATTAACTAACTTTATCAGGGTGCAATAAATACATTTGGTACAAATTTCACAATTTCATTTACAAACATCCCATTTGCAAACTTCTGAAGGCAATATTTGACAACCTGAGAATAGTGTGGCAAAATACTCAACACACAAGGGACATGCTCAGACATAAATGCACCTCCTGCTGGGTGCATATGGTACCTGCATTGTGCGTTGAAAATCACTTTTCCAAAAATCCTATAATCATATTACAATAAAATACAAGTTCTGCCATCACAACTTGAATTATGAGATGTTAAACTTCAAATAAGAATTAACAATCATTAATGGACAAAAACACCTCGGTGTAAACAATTCACAAGATTCAGCAAAAAATCACTAAGAAATACATTTTTTTTTACCATAAAACATCAATACTCAAAACACCACATGAAATGCATTGTCATGCATATTGGAAACATTCAGGCTATGCACAAATTCCATCCATGTATTACACAAACTAAATATGAACAGCTGCACTCCTGACTTTCACACAAGAGACCGTAATTACTACTGAGAAATTATCTTCCAATAGTCTATAAGTGTTCATGTAATTTCAAAACAAATTTTCAAATTACATAAGCAACCAATTCAAGAACCTGATTGTTAAATCAATTATATTTAAGTAATTAACAAACCCTACTTCTTTGCCATTAACAAAAACACCATTATTTTTATGATTGAACACTAATTCAAAACTTTAACTAACATCCATAAAACATTGCAAAAGAAAAGATTCTGCAGACTTGCAAGTTCAAATATTAATGCTATTTATATACATAAGGTCATGAAATTGTGCTGTTTTCAGATGGTGAAAATTATATCAAAATGCACACTAGAACAAACTACCATATCAACAGGATCCGGACAAATGCACATACATGATTCCAGTGTGAAGACAAGTGCAGCATCAGATACTTATTCCATGCATAATAGGTATTTAATCAAATTAATTTTCAAGGTTGCCTTTACTAACTATAAAAATAGGTAGGAGGTTTAGTTGTTGAAGATATTCCTCCACTTTGCAGGGGCTTAAGACACCATTCTGATTTGGCACGATTTATTTCATATTAATCACCAAAAATACTCTCCAGCCAACAATAAACAGAAATACATATAGATAATTACTTTGGCATGATCTGCTCCTCCAAAACAAATTTTTATGACTTGTGACCAGTTTAATATTAAAAAATACTGACCATTTTCTGGTCAACAAAACAATACTTAACAATATTGAATAAAATACAACAGTAAAACAGAGCTTTCTCTGCAAAGCAATGTCCTTAATACATCTTTCCTTACAAAGCAATGTATGTTTTAAATGAAATATTTATGTCGGAAAACATCACTTCAGAGAAACAAGTTTGCATTCAAAAGAAATATATTCTCACAAACCAAGTGATTATATGTCTGCTACCTAGGAATTAACATTTTTCTCTGTTGCCACGTTGCAAATTTGCGAAATGCAGCATTCAATAGTTGGTTTAGATGACTAGTAAGATGCTGACTCAATGGAGAGAATTCGCGCAATACTCGATCCTGCAAAGAAAGAAAACCAGCAAATTATTATTCATGTCAATTTCATTACAGTAAGGATTATAAAAATTGTCAAAAATTGCGGACCTCAAATGGCTTAAGACGAGACGAGTTGAAACGTCGCAAAGCATCATGCATGTGGGAAGCCTTCTGCTCCAATGCTGACGTTGTAGGTGGAAAGCATGCCCAAAAATGTCGCAAAAGTTCACACATAGACATGTAGAGGTTTTTTAACTCTTTCTCAAGATCAGCAGGTACAAGTTCTAGAAAGACCCATAATACAAAAACATTAGACAAACACTGAATTATTTCTTTGATAACGGTGAAGTCTTGAAACAATTTTTTCAGGAGAGCAATAAACAACTCAACTGAAGTATCTCACGGATTAATGATATTCAAACGAAGGTGATATTCAATCAAAAATATTTGAGAATTTCTTTGAATATCATTAATCCCTGATTTACAGCATCAGTTGAAAGTTTTTGCTTTCCAGTAAAATTAAATGTTCAAAATCAGCTTCACAGAGTTCAAAGGTTTTAAATTTAAAATTGCAGCCCTTAATTTTAAATGGCAACCTACTGCCTAAACTTTGAATATCAAGGCTCTAAATTCTTATTTTAGATGCCCAAAGCATGCGTTTACACAAGACAAATATAGGCCATAAAATAAAGACATTATGTGAACATTTTTAAAAACATCTTGTTTTTTAAATTCAAATCCAAATACTGCCACAAAATGTGTTTTGAAGCTAAAATAGCTTGTACTTCCTCATATTAATAATGATGGTTACATAATATTATAATATTGCCTATCTATTCTAACTCTTTAGCCATCTCTTGAAAAATTTGTAACAAAAGGCATTCAAAAAGTTAAGGTGCAAGAAGTGCGTAAACAATTAATACTACTTAATTTTTAAAAATTCAAAAGTTTTAATGATATTAACATTCTGCCATTGAATTCAGTGTATTCTGCACTATCGTTCATCTTAACCACTTAAATTATTCTAATGCCTGGACACAGTGATGGCTGCTTTCCAGTCCATATTAGTGTTCTACATGTCTCCAAGAAGTACACCATTATAAAATTCAATAATATATTGGGATGCTGTACATTACAATCAGTTTCTTTTCATGTGGAGATTTCATTATTTTTTATCACAACATACAGCAGTCTGATGGAACATTTTATTTACTATTCCAATAATACTGTACACAATTAACAAAAAAAATTTTTTAAAAATTAAAAACGAATTTCCACATACTATAAACACATTAATTGAATAGTTTGTTTCAGAAACCTCTCAAACGTCAAATTCCTCATTTTGAGAAAATCGAAAATAAATCACCCAAGTTTTCTGATTTCAAAATTTATAAACACTTTTTACATAAATATGCACTGAACTGTGTGTCTATCCTCTTGGAACAATTACTCATTGCTAAAGTGTTTTATATATCATTTGTTGGGTTTCTGAAATAAATTATTTAATTATATAACATAACATTAGTATAATAACATTAACAAACTTGTGAAATGAAGACCAATAAACAATTCGTGGTAGAGTTGTATACTAACAGATAGACGGTCAATGAAGTTTTTATTCAGCATTTAATTGTTGGTAAATAAAAATTGCCTTAACACACACTGAGCTAGTTTTGAGAAAAACACATTTAAAGCTTCAACGGTGTTAACGGTACTTTTTCCCTTCAATATTTCTGAAGGAGTATATCACATATTTAATGCAATGTAAGGACATATCAATTTAAAATTTTGAATTTTCAAAACTATGTTCAAAGCTCTTACTCAGTTTTTGAAGTTCTTTTATCAGTTTTTGTAAGTGATGACTGAAGCTATAGAAGGAAAAAGAGTTGTAAAATTGCAATATTACAACAGTACATATCCATTACCAATAAAACATGTGCAGTTGCAGCCCCTTGCATTGTACTGTGTGAGTGCTTGACAGTTGGACCTCAGTAGATGTAAGCGGAGGCTTCCACGGTTGGAGTCAGTACTTACTTGGCTATCCATGACATGCCGCGTCCAGGGCGCAGGTGTTAACGTTTTGGTCACCATTTAATACTGCAACAACTACAACCTGATGAAGCTCAAAGAATGGTGAACAAAACATTGGCACCTGTACCCAGGACGCGGCGTCTCCCGGATAGCCAAGTAAGTACTCATTAAGTAATCTGTAGATGAGTTGCCACGTGTATGCCACAATCTTTCACAGACAAGTACACATTTTTATAATTGAGTCCAATACCTATATTGTGGAGATACTTTTAAGGAGGTGAAATTTTGATGTTGAGCATCATAAATGTGTGGCAGAAGGGCTCTACTAGTTTGATGCTCTATTTAATCCTTCTGAGCTGGTGGCTGCATGGGAACATAGAATTAATGGAAAAGCTGCTGTTACTGGTTGTGACTAGGACACTGCAGTTCGTATGAACACAAATATCGTACATTAGTGCATCTGTTTTACAATTTATATGACTGGTAACTTTTTCTCCATCATTATTTTAATTTCTTTTATTTCTTTAATTTTGATCTTAAAAATATGAGAAAGTTATTGATTTGTGATATGAATGAATGTAAGGGGAGGAAGATAGGAAAAGGATATGGCCATAATAACTACCACAGTCCATTTAGGACTGCAGAATACACTGTAGGGATTGTGGTAGTGTACACATCCACCTTGTATAATTTCTGAATAACAAATTAAAATACATTCACAAATAAATGTGGAGAAGTTCTTTACAAAGTAGCAGAAAAACAAATAGGAATGGACATGAAATACAAGTAAACTGAAAATAAGTAGTGCAAAATATGATGTATAATTAAATACAATAAACTAAAATAACATCATTGGTTAAGGACAAAAACACTGGTGGAAAAAAACATGGGCTTCTGAAGTTCATTAGTTGCGCTTTTGGAGATTCATCATCTGCAAACTCCAAATATAACACTGCATCATCATTCTCATCAATATTTCCCACAAAGTAGTTCCATTCCTATTAGGTTATAGATTCCAAACCATGCAAATTCCAAATTAACGCAACCATGCTATCTAAACAAGTCTTATTACATTGAAACCGATTCTACAATGTAAAATTGGCTGCAAGGTTAAAAATTGCTTGGCATAGCTAAGATTGTGGCTGCGGAGAGAACCACAATCCTATAAAGGATTAAGCTGCCCACAGTAATTACTGTCAAAAACAATCACAGCATACAAGCAGTTCAGAGCAAGTGACACACAAAGGGATGGGGCAGGATACATAGTGACCAGGAGGGATAGGGTAGGTTCAGAGCAATGCTGGTGAAAGTGGTGAAGGTAGGATATGATGGAGATAAGACGAATTAATTCTTTAACCTGTAACAGACAGTTGTAATTAATAAATATCCGGGCAACGGTACTTTTAGCATTTTTAAATAACTTTAGAAAGTACAGCATTAAAAACTGAAGAAAGTTTTCTTTTTGCCACACACAAGAATTGGTTAGCATGAATAAAAGGAACACCTGTTGGTTGATTGTTCTACTTCCCATAAGATCTCTAAAATGTCAGCTTCCCTACAAGTCTTATGTACTTACGAGCCAAGGATTCTTCCTGAAATCCCTTCATTAGGGCTCCACCAGGTGTCAGCTCTCCTAGAGCATTGACAGCAGCTGCTGGGTGAACCAAGCTTGCAGCATGCTGCCTGTGAAGTGATGACCAACTCTGTGATTCCCTCTGCACTTGGTTCAGGGTTGAAAAAAGATCTTCTGGATTCAATGCATCAACTGCCATTATGAACACAAAGATTTAAGTTGTAAACAAACAACATGAAATAGGTTTTTTGTTTTAGTAATTAAACACAAAAATTAACTTAACATATCTCACAAGGAAACCATGAAATTAAAACATACTTTCATTGTTCACTGTTCATTAAGATAAATTTTAATCAGGTCAAAACAATAATCGGAAACACTCATTTTGGATGAAATTTAACCCGTAACATCCAACTGAATTGGGCACACAGCTGAGAAACAGATTAATTACTACTTCAACTTCTAAGAAAAATAATCTACTGAATTGCAATTACTAATCATTTATCTTCACAAATTTTCTTTCCATTGAGAAAAATCCTTTATTACATCAGTTATGCAAACTCTTACACCATCTCAAGGAAGATTTTCATTTCTATTTAACCTTCCCAGCAGGCATGCCATTAGTACTTCCCCAAGCTCAGAAACTTAACCACCCTCACTCAAGTCAGCCCTATATGATTTCCAATGCATTTTATGCCAACAAACTTAGGTCGAAGTAGGTTAGGATAACTGGAGCTGCCATCTGAGCTGATGGCTCCAACTAACAACTAGTCTGTGACAATTAAGTCAAAGCAATGATCTTCAAAAATTAACTTCAGTCATATTACACAGAATTTTCAGTGACATTATACACGGTTGAATAAGGCAAGATGTAAAAAATGTACAATGACTTGTAAATTAAAAAAACAAAATTTTCTTTCTACAAACATTAGTTTGCAGAACTGAAGGTTGACTTGAAATGCTGTTTATTAAACACATGTCCTTTTATGACTGATCACTAATGCAACTGCCAAAACCACAAAATGAAAATATCGTGAACTGAGGCACACCAAATGCAACTCCATTATGCTACGAATAAAATTAGAATGTACTTGGGTGTAGAAGGGGATGGCAATGCCACACTCTGCCCGCTCTCATGTGTTCTCATTACTAACTAGACAAATACAAGAGAATGTTGGGAAACTTTTAATAAGATTGTTCCTAACATTTGTGACTACTGTTTGCAACATTTGTTCCCCAATTTTAGATGGCAACAATGTGCAAATGGCAAAGTCTCTGATTCGCTGCTCCCTAGATTACGGCTCTGGCATCATCAGGTGACAAAATGTCAATCACATTCTACTATTATTCAGATCTTAAGGTAAGAAAGGTAAGAGGGCGGGAGGCTGTTGGTGTTTCAGTGGTAACTTTAGTAGTGTTCTCTCCCATTCTTTCCATGTGTTTCAACAATTTTCTTTGACATTCCATCGTCTTTTCACTTTTGTTATTTCCCTTCATTCAACATGTTATGTAAGCACCCCTATTCTGGAAGAACTAGAGTCAATCGCAGCAAATAAGGTGTCATTTGAAAGCTAAAACCCCCAAAGTGTGTATGTGCACACACATTTGTGTTTTATAATCATTAATAATAAGAAGAAAAAAATTGTTTGAAATGTCAACATCAAGCACAAACCCTAGCAAGGTTAATACATAAATATTAAGAAATTAACACACAGATTATTAAAGTTAATGAAAGTAAATTCAGAAAATACTCACCAGAAGAACTCGGCATTGGTCCATGCAGGTATCTTTCCACCTTATCTAGATTTAGTTGAGGCCCACTATTATTGCTCTCACTAATCCCTGCATCTAAATCCTCATATGTTATCTTCTCTAATAATCTCATCTGCAATTGTAACAAGTATGCACCATTAAAAAATTAATCTCAGAGGGGGAAAAAAAAAGAAAAACTGAGAAAAAAGTATTAAATATCAATACACCTTCATAAGATACTTTTTTCAATGATTAAGAAGAACAAGAGGAAGGAACAACAATGCAATTAGCAGGAATGCAATCAGCAGTGACACCTCAGCTAAGCTGTTGCAATGTGAGTACAAGAACAGGTCACACTGCTCAAACCACCCCAGAATATTTTTTAAACACACTGATTAAATTTAGATAGGCAACTGCACTGTTTCACCAAATCATACAACTATCAATATCAACAAAAAACCATTAACAAATAGTAGCTGAAGCAGAGTCAAAATTTCACATATTTTTAAATGGAAAAGGACAGAAATATAATAACTTGTTACCAAAATTCTTTCCTCAAAAAGGTGTTTTAAATAAAATTTTGACCATTTAGAACCAGTTTAAACAAATTTACTTATTGTATCTTTCCAGCACATTTAAATTATCACAATCACAGGAAAAATAGATCGAGATATTTATATACTATTACAGTGTTGAGCAACAGTTAATCCAAAGTTATCAAAAATCAAGAACCCAAACAATAGCAATGAAAAACCTGGACAAAAAACATCCAATGAAATGATTGATTTTACACTTATTCTTTTCAATCAAACATATACCGTAGTTTTCCTCAAATCACCTCAACTGAAAAGGGACCTCTCCATTAGAAATAGCACACAATCAATGCAGGTCACCAGCAAGGAAAGACTGCCTCACTGAAAAGAACTATTTTCTATTTCCACCTGAGAATTTGATGTTCTATTACAATTAACACAGAAATAAAAACAGAACAGGTGCAAAGGAAAGGCTGAAACAAATTTTAACACATTATATACCTTCTTGGTGATCGGAGGTTGAGCAGAGCTGGTTCCTGGACTAGAACCATTTAATTGATTGCTGGAAGGAGTTGCATTTTTACTATGAGAATCATTATTGCTAAGACCAGCATTTTGCTTGCATGTTTTCAGAACCATTATTGAGTGTTGATTAAATCTGCAAATAAAATATTATGTTCATTTTGTTCTTTCCAAAAGTAAAAAATAGTCATTTTCTCAAATCAAACCTTTTTATCATATTCTGATGAACAATATTTCCACTTGTTGAAGACGTAAACTTCTCAGAACCAGTTCCATACCCTTCATCAAGAGTTTTGTCTTCAAAGCCACCAATATCCACAAGAGAATCAGTAATTCCTGCATTAATGTCCTTTTTCAATTCTGAAAAAAAAATGATTTACAATTTACAAAACTTGCCGATTTTGAATATGTTGAATGAAGATTCGGTTTCCAAATTACCTTGATCATCTAGTTTAGCACATTCTGTGAATAAGTCTTTGGTACCAGCATTGATCCGATCACGATGAAAATAATGAGACTGAAAAAATTTGGTCCAGAAATCTGCCTCTGACAATTTATGAGGGACATACTCTAAATGCTTCTTTCGTACAGCTGGATAAGTTTTAAATATGCACTCAATAATATCAGCTGTCAAATTATACTTGAGACCATTGCAACCATCTGTCTGAGGTTTTATATCAGCCTAAAAACATACAAATCAGTAACAACACTACAAAAAATTAGAATTGTCATTAAGCCACAATAAATCACTCACAAGAAATGCTCCAGATACTCCTATATCCTGCTTTTGACTTTGCTGTTTTTGTGTAAATTTTGTAGCATGTTGCACCCAAAATTCTTCGGAGGTGATAACCTGGGTAATGACAAGATCTCTATATAATTGAAGCAAAGCAGGGTTTTCTGAAAGTAACCTGTAAAACACAAGGAAATCATGAGACTTAACTGAATAAACTGGGTATTTGAAATAAATAAGGCAGAAAAATTAATTTGGAAAAATAAAATTGAAATGAACTAAATGAAATTAGCAAAGTTCTGCAGCTGGTAACTACATGCAGAATGAACAATACATGAGTGAACATAATCCTTCAAAAATGTAATAAAACACCCAAAAAGGATTTACTAGATTTTAGTATAAAAACAATTTTCTTTGAAGAAAACAGGGTTTTAAGAGTCTAAAACATTTTATGAGTCATTTGGTTAGGGGTGTTGCTATGATCATCTCTGGTTAACCTCAATCTTCAAAATTCCAAATTTTTCATCTCAGTTTTGTTTTATACACTTCTGCACGATACTACCCTATTCAGCAGTAGCTACACATCCATTATTTCTCCAATTATTCAGCACTTATTTTTAAACAAATATTAATTTTCAAGACAAATAAAACAAAAACTGCCCTCTACCCACCAACTTTAGAAACAAGCTTCAATAGGGAAAACATATCAATGGAAATACATCCATTTAAGGCTTTGGATATATTGAAATTGGAAGACCCCAATGAATACACACAATTAAATACTTCTCTCCAACAGCATAATCTGTACCATGCAAGAAATTTCTTTCCATAGCCAAAGTTCATAGTAAGCAAATCTTTCTATCTATTGTTTTTTTCACTTCAGATTATTACTAAGATTAAGTCTATAAAATGGTGTTGTAGAAGAAAATTAGAATAGTCTTATTGGATCAAAACGCGGGGGGGGGGGGGGGGGGGGGGGGGGGGGGGGGGGGGGGGGGGGGGGGAGAGAGAAAGAATAAGATTTGTTTTCATTAATACACAATTCAGTTTGATTGTGCTAAGCTTCGCTTATTACTTTCTTCTGCATTTCATTTTAAAATTTAACAATATTTCAGTAGCAAATTTTTCACGAAAATAAAATTAAATAAATAAAACAAATTTGGAAATTATTCATATTATAATAGATTCTCCAGAATTAACAGTTTAATAACAAACTTATTTTAGCCATAAAATAATTTAAATTAGTGATTTTTAAATATAATGCATTGTTTAAAATTTGAAAAATTAACCCTTAATATTAAATTCTTTGATTGTTTTAGAATGATTAATAAAATAATATTAATTATGCAAAAATTAAAACATTTTTTATTCATTAATAACCCCTAATTAAAGACCATTTGCATATATTCAATATTATTTGAAGAGTTCAAATAAGGCATTTGAAGAATAAGTCTCACTTTTTTTATAAATATCATTCCTCAATCACTAAATTGTAGCAGAACTTGCATGCACACCTTAAGAAACCCAGTAATTTCAAGGCTGGTATGATTTAAATAATATAATTTAAACCATTGACTTAAATCAATATTTATTATTTATATGTGAAAATATATAGAATTTTAAATTATACTAAAATAAAAAAACTCAATAAAAACACTTATTTACATATGATATAAAGAATATAAAATTAACTTTTTAATTAAGGCAGTATTTCACAACAAAAAAAAGGGGGGGTAAAATTTCTTTGAAGAATGCCTCTTTTCTGAATCATGTTAATAGCACTCAATAGGTGTCACAAGTTTATTCAGTAATATGGACGGATGCATGAGAATTGTTTCAAGAGCACAAAATTATAAGGAACTCAAATTTGAAGATTTAGTGGATTAACGTGGTAATGCGCAGGTCCCCTCATGCACACAGTTGATTTTAAAATAAAATTACAATAATTTATTGATAAATTTAAAAACTGATGTTTTAATAAACTTTTTACTGCTTTAAAGTAACTAAAAATCAATCAATCACTTATTTTTGGTTTATAATATAAACAATTTTTAAAATATGATTTAAATAAAAACATTAAGATACTTTATTAAATTTTCAGCCCTAGTTCTCTCAGAAAAAAATCAGAATACTTCTGAAACCTGCACTAATAACCCGTCAGAGATGGCACATAAATTTTCTGAACCTTATGTCACAACAAGTACGTGTACCATAATTTGGGAATGCCACAGACCTAGGTCACAATTATCTGCACGCTGCAACTTGGGAGTTTTATTTTTAGTAGTTGTGAAAATGCCAGTCATTTTCTGCCCAGGTCCTTTCTATCCTGTGCACCACCTCAAGTGACACCGAACATTGACATTCAACTCTTCTGCAAGCTAACTATGCATCCACGGTAGGCTAGCGTTGCCAAATAGACTAATGCAAGAGTGATTGTAATGCTAATGTGTGATTGTTGACTGACTGGAAACTGAATAAATCAAGGGTGGTAATGAGAGAATTTTAAAACCCCTTGATAGAGACCACATCAGCGGCAATACATAAAAAGTGGACGTCCTAAAAGATTCTTAACTAAATTTAGATTCTTCCCTTTTACCTCATTTGGGCTGGTTATATAAATAATTATAACAGCAATTGTAAAATAATTAAGAAAAACGTTATTTTATATATATTTTATATCTTATTAAGTATATGTCAAAGAATTAGGGAAAAAAGAAAAAAATATTGTAGGAATTATTACTTTGTAAATGAAAACACACTATTGTTTAATGTTTGTCTTAACGAGTTATGCTTTTTTTAAACAATTACTTAGGCAATTGCCATAATATCACAATGCCAAAGTATCACCTCTGAGATTTTACGTTAAATAACGCTATCACAACTGTATAAACTATCTGAAGTACTATGAAACCTGCTTCTCTTGAAAAAATAATGTATACCTTAATGTTTCAACAATACCTAATATAACCTAAAAAGCTAACCTTTATTCAAAAAACATCAACATTTCTTTAGTATCGAAAAGAAAAAAAAAGAAAGATTCAATACATTGCAGATTAACAATTGTCATACAACACGTTTAAAACAAGGCACAACCATGCCATGAGAGAATACCAGCCTTCCTAAAGTTTTATTAATGGTCTACTTTACAATTTACCCCACAAATAATTAATTAGCATTATATCTTATGTATTGCTCTCCAAAATCACAAAGCATGTTCAAATCTTATTCTGAGTAAACCATTATCCTTAAATATTTGTAATTAAACTCAAACACTATTTTCTTTTTTTAATGACAAGTCATTTTGCGACTTCAACTATGTCCAAAAAGTAGTTTGAACTTAATTGCTGATACAAGATAAACAAATGAGCTAAAAACAACTTACATTACAAAACATTTCTTATGTTAAGCTACAATGAGGAAGTACTTCAAAATTGGTCCATTGACTTTCCTCGACTCAAGATGCACCTTTTGTTAGAAATATTTTGCAAATCTAAACAATAATTTAACGCAGTAATTTAAAGCTCAATAATCTGTCTAATGCACCATTCCAAACTGGAAACCTAACAAAACCTGAACAAATTTTTTATTTTGGGCACAATACAAATTTTAAGTTGTCCATTTATCACTTTCTTTCGAAAGAAATATACAATTTGAAGCTCTACATAACTACTCATAACCCCACATTACTACTAATAAATGTTATAAGTAATCCTTAAATGATTAGATTGGGTAGAAGGTTGAATTCATACCATCATTATAAACAATTTTATTTTCATGAAAAAGTTTTCAAGTCTAGCCAGTTATTCCATGGAGTATATACTTCTGAACAAAGGTTCTATTATAACAGACAGGTCAAAATATGAACTGATATATGATGAAGCCTAACTTCATGACAATCATATGAATGATTACACATTTCCAGAACAAGATGGCCAACCCAGTACAAGAATTAGTATTGAATGTTAAATGCCCACGATCTCAAAAACAATTTTTGGGAGCTTATACTAATTTTCTTAATTTACTTATGCTCTCAAATTCTGCTACATATAAATATATCCACAACCATGGAAATTACCTGTTTTTCTCTTCAAGTTCTTTGTTGACTTCTCTCTTAAACTTAATTAAAAGGTGCTGAAGAAGTTCCTTAACATCATCACGATCTTTAACTTGGGCCGGCTGACCTTGTCGATTTACAAAGTGGAATGTCGAGGCAGATCCATCATGCAAAACAACTTGCAGTTGTACCTTTGGCTTTCCATCAGGAGAAATTTTTTGCACTACAACAATGAAACAACTATTTGCAAAAAGGATTTTCAATTTTTTTTATAAATCTTCCCATAATTGTGTACCAGAAGAATATAACCAACACATCTTAGAAAAAAGTCATATTGGTAATCTGTTCAAAGCCCTCCATTTGCATTTACCCTTATCAAAGTACAGCATTATTAAATTAGCAATATTTTCTTAGATATTTTTCATTAAAACTAGTATAGCAGAAATACCCAAACACAAAAGTAAAAATGGTAGAATATATCACTCACTCTTTATGTCAGTATATCTGTGACTGACTGAGACAGTATCACGATTATCCATCATCCACGCTATTCTTTCGTTCATAACATACAAAGTACCGTCTCCTTTTTTGTAGCGAACTTGCCCTACCTGCAATAATACATCTTCCGACGAAGTAGTCATGTTGGGTGATTTTCTTCAATACCTACAAACAATGAATTTTGAAATGGCATACTAATTTCACAAATAAAATTCAAAATTTTTCGAAAGTTATCGCTGCAACGGAACAGCACATATACAAGTGCGAAGCAATCACGTCCTTGAGAAATGGCGACTTCCCATTTAAAAAACATCGTAATTTGAAAATAAAATCGTTTTGCAAAAATTTCGTAGATAAAAATACTCCAAATCTATATGGACTCAAATTTTATCTCATATTACGCCTCTTTCCGTCCCTCCCCGACATATTTCGCAACGCAACACTTCCCTTCAAAATGGCAAAAGCCTACAGTGGTCGAGCGTCAAGAACCGGTTATCTTTTTTCACCAAAATACGCCTCTCAAGGAAGAAAAACTTCGAAATTTATAAACTAGCATAACCAGTGTAGCTTCTGTAAAAATTTTATTATTCATTACAAATCCTAAATGCCACTTTACCAGGTAAAATCACCGATATTCTCAGCAGGACAACGCGGACCCACCGTCCACGGCAAGAGCCATGTGTGACATACATAACGTACAGAGACATCCCCATCGACCAGCGGCCTGCACTGGAATACCGCGCAGGGAGACGACCAACTCGCCCGACAAATCCGAATCCATCTCCTCCCCTGCAACATTGCCAAATGTATGTACATGACACGAAAATTATTACAGCTTATTGTTAAAGGGACAATAAAAAACACGCCAACAGAAATTAATATATTAAGTTTCATTTATATTTGAGAGACAGTAGTACTTTTATTGCTAGCAATGAATTCGACCGAAAGGAAATAAACTATAGACATATGGCAATGTAGCAATTGCACGGCAGCTTCCCCCTTCATGAAAAGGTTCTCCTACCCGATACAGAGCTCCTACGTATTAGGAGTGAGGGCCATATTTTCCAACATGAATATTTTGTGAGTTAGATTTTAATGATATCGTTGTAAACGAAATATTGAGATTAGTGATATTCACCGAACATTTGTCAGTAAAATCTTTGTGGTTTAATGTTTATAGTGTTGTATCTGCGTAATTTGCCGAAATTATTCGAATACTAATTTTGTGATTAATATGGTCGAAATTTAAGTTGTCAGAATGAGCAAGTGATATTTGAAGACTTATTTTTAAGTCTTTATAGATATCGTATTAGTTAATTAAGATATTACCGCCAGTGGAAAGGCAAAGTGTACGTCGCGAGTAACGAGGTATATCAAGTTTAAAGACCTTTCTGTTATACAATAATGTATTCAATTGACTATTCATTTCCTCTCTCGGACTAGACTGCAGCCTGCAACACCACGACGCGGAA